GCCAGTGGGGCTGGGGTGCGCTTTTTGACGCAGTTTGCCCCGGTTCATAGGTACACTCCTGTCGGCCGCTCCTTCTTCTCCCCCCCCGAAGGCTACTACCACCCCCTGGGAGGCGGCAGGGAGGTCTGGTTTGGTTTCCACCAGTCGGTCAGGCCCGCCATGTGGAAGATGATGCTCAACATTGATGGTGATGTATTTTTTGATGCTGGCAAACCCACTTTGCTCTCCCGCATGCCCAGCAGAGCGTGGTCCTGCTGGCTCGCAGTGAGGTCCCAGCACCCCTGCGGGGCGGGGGGCTTTGTGCACGGGGTCTGGCCACCCTGTGGGTTGCAGTGGGGTGGGGGTCTGCAGCGGGGAACTGCAGCAGTGCGGCCGGGTGTGTTTGGGGAGGCTGAATCTGGCCAGCTCTTGGGCTGGGTCTGTCTGCTGGGAGAGAGCAGAGACTCATCGTGGTGCCTGTCCTGCAGTGTCGGCCACCGCCTTCTACAAAGCCCAGCCCGTAATCGAGTTCATGTGCGAGGTGCTGGACATCCGGAACATCGACGAGCAGCCGAAGCCCCTGACGGACTCGCAGAGAGTGCGTTTCACCAAGGAGATCAAAGGTAGAGCCCCCGGGGAGCGCTGGGGACCTGTCCCCAGCCGGGTGCTGCCCCAGACACCGGCCGTGGCTTGTCTGCAGCGAGGTGGGGATCCAGGGGGTGCACATTTAAAATGTCTCCTGGGGCACCGCTGCCTCCCTCATGCGCTTCACCGGGCATCTGCAAGCGTACCCGCTCTGCAAATGGTTAATTATTTAAGGTGGGTGTTGGCGGTGTCCCAGGGAAGCTGGGTGAAGGGCTCCCGCCTTTCCCGGTGACTCTGCTCTGTCTCGCCCCAGGTCTGAAAGTCGAGGTTACCCACTGCGGGCAGATGAAGAGGAAATACCGCGTGTGTAACGTTACCAGGCGGCCGGCCAGCCACCAGACGTAAGGCGGGTGGAAAGATGCCCTTGGAAAAATCTGAGCTGTTCTCCTTTTTAGCAGCTGCTGGTGTCGTTACGGAGAGCTGGACGGGAAACTCTAGCCTGCGCTGGCAAAAGGAGATGTGTTCGGTGCTCTGCGGCGGTTTTGGGCCCAGCAGCTCCGTGTCATGCGCGGTGAAGGCGAGCGGGATGCAGGGGAGGGTGGGAGTGCAGGGGATGCTTTGTCTGGCAGGCGGCGCGCTGCAGTGGGCGGGAGCTACCGCGCCAGGAATTGTCCTAGTTTTTACCTCCGAGTTTGGTTTTCTTCTGTCTTAAAATAGATACTGCCAAAGCAGAAGTTTTGTCAGGGGACGAAGCGATTCCCTGCCTTGAAATTATTTGCGCGTGCCTGGGAGCAGGCTGGGCCTGGGCACCCCTCTGTGTCGGGGGGCTGCCCTGCTCCCCGCAGCCCCCACGGATGGGGACGGAGGTGCTGCCCTCCGCAGCTCTCAGGTGCCGCAGCCCATGGGTGTTTCCAGGGCTCATCACTGGGGTTTGCCCTGGGAATTGCCCCTGGAGAGGCTCGGAAGCAAAACAGGGTTGGAGGCAGGGGCTGGGGAGAAGAGCAGGACCCTCCAGGCCCTCCCCGTGCGGGCAGCGGAGGGGACGGTGCTGGGGGGGGGGGTACTTGG